AACTTTAAAACATAGTTTTCTAGATTCACTTTTCGATGTAGAATCTGAAAATATTAGTTAAAAAAAGTTAAAATGCAATCTGAAATGGCGACAGCACATTTTCTGAAAAGATGCGCTTTTTCGTGTTTTTGACCCGAGCTTAGTATTTCGGGTCTTTTTCCCCGAAGATGGTATTTTTTTAAACTCGGACGGCGATATTCGTGATCAGCACACTTTGCTCTACCAGAATATATCTATTTGAATTAAAAATAAAAATGCGTGGTAACTTTGAATTACGCGCGCCTTACCGAAATACGCTTCTAATAGGGAGTATGGCAGTTCATCGCCATTACATTATTCTCCTTCCTTGATTTTATCGCAGACTCTAGAAATTCTCGAAACTTCGAAGCTTCACGGTTTTTAGAGAGGGAGAGAGAGAATAAGAGTATCGAATTATTAATTAATATCTTATTTTCGCTGTAATAATTCCTGTTCCTCGGTTACAAGAAAATTAGTCATAATCAAGAGTAAATTTGGTGAAAAAATACACCTTTTCTCATTCTCCTCAACTTTCGACTTCAAATTAAGATCTCTTCTCTTCTTCTTCTTCTTCTTCTCTCACGTTCAGAGAAAGAGGATGTACAATAAATCTTCATAAATCAATTTTCATCTTAAGTCTAAGTAATTACTCTTATTTGCAAAACATAATTTAGCTGTTTCGTTTCCGTTCGGAACATTTAGGGCTTTTCTTGTAACTTCTATGACTTTGCAAGAAGAAAGAAGTGGAGTAATAAATAAACTAAAATCAATCATCATTAATGCCTACGAGAACAAGCAATTCAAGTGCACTCTTGAAAAGTACAGAAATAATATTCTTTACGCACGCAATTAGAAAAAGGAACAGCACTTCACCAAAGGCAATGAAAAATTTGTACGTTTTCTCTAAAACAGAATCAGGACAACAAGATTTTAGTTTATTTACTACTCCACTTCTTTCTTCTTTTGGAATAACACAGACTTGCATGACATATACCTGCGAGTTTTCTCCATCCCATCCAATATACGGCAGTAAATCGATATCTTTGTCAACCATAATATTTAATAGATTAACACCTGTAATCATAAATAAATAAGAGAAATTATGTTATAAAGAATTTTGTCAAAGAATACCTACATATCCAAATATTCCTAGAAAAGAATGTCTTTACCTTGTTGTATATTTTTATCTTCTTTATCTCGTTCTTCGATTGCCACAAAACTTGTGAATGGACTAACAATTGAATATTTCGTACTCAAGTCAATAATATGTTGCTTATATTGAGATTTTATTAACTAAATGAGAAATTGTAACTAATAGCTATTTTATATTAGAAATGAGAGCGTAACTTACTTCATTAACTGTATCATCCGTACTCAACAGACCGTTTTCCCAATCATCAATTATAGCACGTGCTGTTAAACAATGTAGAATTTTCCCAGTTGTTTCAGTTATTTTACTTGTAAACACAGTTGTGGTCAACTCATGCCCATTTACATTCGCTTTTAATGTTGCCTACACAAAAGAATACGAATGTCATTCATGTTCTCTTTTGTTTAGTTCCTTGTTTTTCTCTTTACCTTGTAACAATTATTAATAAAACCATAAACTGTTAAACGCATACCGTTAAATAATGAATGAATATGGGATGGCGCTTGAAGAAACTGAAAATTATTATTTTCATCTAGTTGTTCAGTATGCCAGTCAATAACAATTCCGTTGACACATGGTTGTCGAACGTTTTCTAAAATACTTAGCACCTACAAAAGCAAACGGAATATTTTTAATAACTCTCATTTAAAAATATTTTACTCTTCTTACTTTTGTTTTCCATTTTGAACGATAATTACTATCAAAAACAGTTCCGAAGCCACCACCTGCTGAATTTATTAGTTGTTTTAAATCATGTTTATTGGCTGTATCACTGATGGAACATGTAAAAAATCTATCATATTTCATTTGTTTTTGTTTTAATAATAGCAAAATTGATTTCATATCATTTAGATGACCATCGGATAGAAGTATGTAATTTCGTCCACCATATGATGGTAAAAGTGAATAATTATACAAAACCGAAAATAAATCAGTATTACCACGATGATCCAATGAATGTAAAACAAAATGTTTTGCTTTAGCAAGATTTTCTTTTGTTAAAAGAGATGATATTGGAAAACATTCATCTGAATCTGAACCAAATGTAACAATATTAAATAAGATATTATTGTTATTATTTTCAATAGACATATTCGATAAAAATGTGTGTGCCAGTTGTTTTGCTTGCTTTTGTGCATTACCATCCATTGAATTAGATAAATCAATTATATAAATAATTTCAGTTGTTGATGTTGATTGACCCTCTGAATCAAATTTTGGATAAAATGTTAACATACACGCTCTGGATTCCGAATCTGATGCATATGTTTCAACTAACATTCTTGGAATATGTATAGTTGTTAATGTTATTGTTAGTATAAAATCTTTATCAAATATATTATCAATTAGTTCAATCATTGCTTGACAATCGGTGATTTTTCGTCTTAAACGATGTGTAGGTGAAAATAATTTTCTTATTTCATATGGCATTGTTATGGATGCTTTTAAACTAAATTGTATTTTATTTGAATCTGCTGTTGCTGTTATTCCAATGGATGGTAATAATGTCTAAAATACGAAAGTACCATGATATTTAGAACAACTTCAGATCAGTTTATAAAAGCCAAACAAAGGTGCAAGAGTAACGACCAAAAACTTCCATAGCGAAGGTGGCTGAAGAAGTGAAAAATATCCATTCCTTCTGAGAAAGATCGTGGGAAATTCAAGTTGGTAGAGTGAACATCCTAACAGAAAATGCCTGATAGTCTCTGTGTGTCCTTCGTGATATTTTCCAAGTCATTTATGGCGTTTCATAAAATAAGTCATGACAGCTTCATTGTTCAAACTTATTTTCTGCTTCTTTTCTTCTTTACTGGGGATGAACTAGACAAGTTTTTTGTTGAACTTTTGTCATTACCCTGTCAGCTTTTTTTCTAAAGATAACATCTTAAAGTTATGTATGACATTAAATTTTATGTTAAAAATACAACTTTTTATTCTTTATTCAATAGTGTATTGAGAAAAATCTTAAATCATTGAATAAAAATAAAGGTTGACCTTTTCTAGACCCCCTTGTGTGATAAGGAACACTTTTGCGACCATCGGTTAGGCATAGTTTATTTTTGACTCAACAAGAAATTTCAATAATCTCTTCAAAAAATCCAAGATGTCAAGATCTAAGATGCTTCAATAGATTAGATATAGAAAAAGGTTATTTCTACTGTTTTAATATCTTATTAGGAAACAAACGAGGAATGAATCAAGAAGAGTGACCGTCCTTGTCTTTGCGTGACCCATTTTCTTCACCGAGAGAGCTATTCTAAGTGTGTTAAAAAGAGCCAGAGTAATGTGCTATTCCAGTGTGCTCTCAACACACTTTATTCTTTTAACTGCAAAAAGTCAGTTTTCAAGTTATGCACAAGAAAACTTTTCTCTGCGTATTCTTAGTGGTGTTCAATCGCATTTGTCTTATTCGCAACGAAAACAGGACGTTCTTATCTCAGGAGTTTATATAAGTTCATCTTTCCACTGAGATCCCTATTCATATTCATCAAAAAGAATTTAATCTCCTTAACTAAAATTATCAAGATCTCCCATTACCGCAAAAGGGTGTCTCCACATAGGTCCGCCCATTTTATACCGAGCATCTTGCCGCGAAAACATCACTTTGCCCATCGTGTAGACCATCAAAAATAACCTAAAAGTCTCTGTTACGCTTTTTTGAAAAAACGTGTGAACAGTGATTTTATAGACACCTCAAGTTTTTGGTGAGAGTGAAAATGAACGAAACATTTCATAGTTATGCATCAAATTGTAGCTCTTGACGAGTTGATTCTAATGGTGAAGGAATTTGGTCTCGATCTAACTTTACACTCGAGTGATACGTCATTTACTTGAAAACTTCCTGAAGTTTGACCTCGATTTTCTCCTAAACGCTCCAAAACTTTTTCGAGATTTTGTCAGAATAGAAACTCCTTAGTAGGATCTATAACTTTGCCCATACAACTATCCTCGACACTTTCCATTTTTCACCCTCGATTTTCTCGAAATCCCGTTAAAGCCTTACCTCATGAAAAGAATATTGAGCTATTATGACTCTATATTCCTGTTCAGCATTAAGAATTCCATGTACTTCAATGTTTTCTGAGGCTTCTTTGTATTTCCGTACCGCAGGTTTCTAAGAGGATTTCTGGAAAACCGAGGGTGAAAAATGGAAAGTGTCAAGGATAGTTGTCTGGGCAAAGTTATAGATCCTACTAAGTAGTTTCTATCCTGACAAAATCTTGAAAAATTTTCGGAGCGGAAAAAAACTCTCACCAAAAACTTGAGGTGTCGATAAAATCACTGTTCACACGTTTTTTCAAAAAAGCATAAGAGAGACTTTTAGGTTATGTCTGATGGTCTACACGATGGGCAAAGTGGAAATTTCTATTTCGGCTAATAGTGAATGTAATAGCGGGCGGACCTGCGCGGAAGGACCTAAAATCGACCTTTTATGCGGAAGTTTTAGGACTTAATGTTTTTCGCGATCGGAATCCTTCGAAATGTTGGGCACCAGAAGGACATCTTATTCAAATTAGGAATAAAAAAGTGAAATTTTCCCATATAATTCTTATGGGCGCGAAAATCATAATGTCATTTTGATCATTTCGAATTTAGGCAATACAAAATTTCACTTTTTTATAAGACTTCCTTCTAATGTCCAACACTTTGAAGGCTTCCGATCTCGAAAAACATTCAGTCAAGTCTTAAAAACCTTCATATAAAAAGTCGATTTCGCGGTAATGTGCTTAAGTACATGGGCTAATATTTTACAGATACTTTTGATATCAAGACAATGGTTAGATCGAATTCAGCTATTTTTTATTGGAAATGCAAATAAGTTGTCTTGACCTACGCTTTCACTTTTTATTTACCGGCGTATAAAATCTGCAGAATAAAACTCATACTTGATTATGGTCTTCAATAGCCATTTTAGATTGCCACGATGCTACTTTAGCTGGTAAACGAAATACTATATCATCGTTTTCAATTGCTAATTCCACGACATATGTTATTTTAATAACAACTTCACAATTTGGTGGTAAATTACCAACGGAAACACTAAAAACTTCCTATAAAGAAAAACAATTATTTAAATGACTTGAATT